GCAAAAAAGATTCACCTATGCATTTCTCATATAGAGACATAGGCTTCCCACTACATTAAACTTTAATAAAGGTGATGAAGACTGAATTTATTCCTACCTGAATGAGAGGAGAATGCTGCAGGAGAGTAGGGTGACCCACAAACTGAACGTTGTCTATCTTCAGTTCAAACTTCTTTCCACACATGTCAGACTTGGTGGCCAGGATGGTGGCCAGGATGCTATCAGAAAACCTTGAATAAGGAAGCACAGATGCAGTGAAAAACGAAGCACGTCCAGAACAGCTAAGACAAGTGAAAATAGTTCAGATAATTCAATAGTTTAACAAGAAAATAAAAAAAAGCTTATTCAGTTACTGACAGGTAAGAAAAAGAAGAGGCTTCTGGGTAGAAAAAAAGTGAATGATGTGTGAATGAGAAATGTGACAAACTCATGCTGGTTTGACCCAAGTAACTCATGCTGTATTTAAAGGGGATACAATTTCAGGTTTTAACTTCCAAAAAAAAAAAAAATTTAATAATAAACAATATACCTTTACCACCACCGTGATTTTTAAAAAACAATGAAAATTAAAATGACTGTTGCATTTGATTTGAATTTCAACCTCATTTGCCAAGTTTACATGCTCTGATTATCAGCGTACAATTAATGTGACGGTTTTTGTAAAAGCACTGCTTCATCTTCTGTATCATTTACAGTAACTGCACAGAGACCGGGGGTTTGTGGAGATCGATACAGGGCACAAAATCAGAAAAGAGAGGGTAAAATAAAAGGACAGGGGGTGATCTAGGGGAAAAGAGAGGTGGGTTAGAATGATTCGGTCTTACCCTGCTACCAACTGTTCGTCAGTTAGCGGACATTGCTCCCTGAAATGGGAATTGGACCCCAAAAAACAGAAGAACAAAAAAAAAGCAAACAAAAGGGAAAATGCAACACACAGTTGGGCTGAATGCAAAAAATGGACATTAAAACAACCAAAACAAACATGAGACACTGTGATGTCAAAATGCAGGTATGCTGATTTAGGTACATTTCACACACATCCAAACTGCTGTCAATAATGGGCGCTACAGTACATATGGTGAGTTTCATATTAAACGATTATCAGTTTAATGATATCGAGGTTACTGTAGAATAGCAGGACATCAGTTGCAGTTAATCCATTTTCCCTTCTCTCTTCTTTTCACTTTTACATCACCATGTGCCCATCTCTCCTTGTGATCTTGGTAGCTAAAAGCGTCATCATTTCTGGGCAGTAAAGCAAATGTTCATGCAAATGGATAAAGACATTATGGCTGTACAGAGACTGATTGTCTTGCACTTGAAATAAAGCAGCCTAACAAACACATCATTTCAACAGTAATTTTCAATCACAATGTTAGTTGTGGTTCAAATTGTTCAGTGTTTGAAGAAATGCATCATCCTGATTGTTTAAGAGTTCTTTACATAGTCATCTAAATCACATACTAAATAAGACTTAAATAACATGTTGCTGTCATTTTTGCACATCTCTGGTGTTTGCTGCTATTTTTCCACATATCCATTACTGTAAAAATGTCCACAGCTGTTTATTGATTATTTTTCAGATATACAATATTTATATTGTAAAAGAGTACAGTATTTTATTTGTTTATTTATTATTGGTATACACTTTTTAAGGTCCCCATTTGTGTGACAACTTTTGCTATAATATGTTGCTTCTGTAATGCCCCAATTTCCCCATTGTGGGACAACAAAAGGATTTTCTATTCTATTCTAAAATAATCAATAATATTAAAAAAAAAAGAAATCCTCAAGCACAAAATAATAGAAGCCTGTTTGAAATCAAATACCTCAAACAAATTCGAGGAGTATAGTATGGTTTATTTGTATCGGCTGAATGTTTATAACAGTATTCCCATTTCTAGGGTGGCAGCTTAATAAAAATTAATAAAACAAACACAGTTATAAGATTTATGTGTTTGGCTTATGATAAATATATGTTGATGTCCAAGCTGTAATCAACTTTTATGTTTAAACCATGGCCTATCATTAAAACATATCATTAATTTTACTTTCAAGTAAGAAAATCTTCATTTTAAATAGGAATGTTGAGATAATTAAAAGCACAGGAACAAGTGTGAGAGGACATGTCTATGATGGCTTTTTAATTTCCAACAGGTTCCAATTGGTAATAACAGCTGAAAATGTAACATTTGGAAATAATATTCGTAATTCTTTCCTTTTTTTGTTTTATGCCTTTTCAGGTTGGGTAAAAAAGTATGACAGCTTAAAACGTCTAATCTTTCTTTCTTTCAGATTATACATGTTTATTTTAAGGATTAAAGAGTGAATTCTGTTCAATTAAAATAAACACAAACAATTACCTTGAGTCTCCATCCAGATCTTCAAGAACATCTCCAGTTGTGCTCAGTGCATATGGGTTACGCTGTTTTGCTGAAAGACAGTTCTAAGTATTAGTGTAAAACAATTGTAATATTTATTCCCTTTTGTTAAATTGTTTGTTGAAAAATAGGGAATTAATTTTTGTACCATTTTCAGCCTGGAAAGCATAGATTTTTTTCTTTAATACAATACTGGATTGTTACTGTAACCATGTAAAAGAAGATGTAAGAAATATTTTTTGCCACTTTTCCAAAGTCTAGTTTTCTCATCTCAGTTTAGAAAACATCAAAAAGTGTTCATTAAAGTCTCACAAAAAAAATAACACAATGTCACATATCAGGCTGCTGATTCGTAGAAAAAAACAGCTCATCATTAAATAACCTGAAAACAATCCATGGTCATTTTCTGTATGACTATCAGTGTTTTACATGACTGGAGGATTTTCTTTTAGGCGTCATGCACTAGAGCTATTTTATTAGGTTTAGATCTACACAACTTCAACATGATTGAGGTGAAAGTGAAGCAGTAATATAGGCTGACTGTTTACTTTGGTTAACAATGATATTAAAGGTTGAATTAATGATTTGAAGGTTCCTTGGTCCTGTGACTATAAAAAAAAGTGTCATTATCCCTCCCTCACTATGCTTTCCATTTAATTTAAGGTCTTCAGGCTGTTTTTATTACTTTTTGGTGCTTTATAAATGTGGTTCTATAAATTAGGGCAAAATATCTTTGTTTTAGTCTCGTTTGTCAGAAGTAAATTGTCATGCTTCCAAATGCCAAAGTGCAACACTAAAGTTAGGTTGGTCATCCTTTCATAAACTTTTACATTTGAAGATGACTTAGGAAGTCTCCTTCTTGCAGTCACTGATTCGATTTACACAGCTTGAGGTCCTTAGATATAAAATTATTTACTAATTTGCACAATAACCGAACTTTACTACATTGTCTTAGAACTAGGATAGAATTTAAATGTTTTTATTTGACTTTGATTCTCCTTATATAACTGAACTATCTCCTTCTGTAGTTGATGTGTCATTTTTTGTCAATATAAGTTACATAAATAAGGTGAATTGAATTTTTATTTAACATACTATAACATCCTGCAGCTTATCTGATCCTTTCCCTGTCTGATCTAAGGAATCTTAATTGGCTCCCACATTTGAATGATCTCTCTTTGTTTTATAAAGATGATCTCATTGTGCAGAACTTCGACTTTCATATTGAATTAGCATTTCCATCTCTACTTTCACTGTTTTTTTTCTGGTTATGGAATATTTTTCTAATCAATAAAGTTACTTTAATTAATTAAGTTAAAAAGTTTGAACTCTTCCTCTGGCTGGGACATTCTGTTAATTGATGGGTGTGTAATTACATGAAATACTCAGTACCAGTAGAATGTGTTTTAAATCAGCTCCTGTTTAAGTTCATGTTAATGCAGCGCCTACCTGCGAGAGAAGACGGGCACTCAGCAGCCCTTTGGAATGGATACCGAAACAAAAGTTTGTTCCCTCTGCTCCCAGAACTAACCAGTATGACGCTGATCGGACTGGTTTTATCCCCGCTTTTATGTCTGTTGTTCTGAGACTGACTGTACAGAGAGTTTCTGTCATCTGGTGACTCGGCCGATGGGCTTAGCATCATGTTAGCATTCTAAAAGTCTTCGTTAGCGTGATTTAGCTGCAGCTCTTATGAGCTTATATGTCTACTAGAAAAAACAAACAATAAAAAGAACGATAGCACTTCCCAGTTAACTTCAAAACCTGCAGAGAATTGGGTTTCTCACAGGGCTGTTTTTGGCACTGTTATGTGTTACTTTGATTAATGCTCGGCTGGACACATCAACTCAGTTTTGTGTTCCGCCCCGCAGAAGCTTTGCTTATTATTTGTCTTTTGACAAAATAGTTTTATGGAAAAATTTCAGGAATAATTGACTATTTATAAAGCGAAAAACGATTAATATACATTTTTCATGTACCAAGAAAACTATATTAATAACATACAAATGTTTTTTTTTAGGCTTTTACATTCATAGCAAAGTATGATAACAACATGATATAAAAACAAGCCTTAATTCTATGTCAAAAATCCTAAAAAAAAACACAATTAAGTCCTTTATGATGTCGCATATGTGCCACCTTTTTAATTGGCTGAGTTGAATTCATAAGATTTTCAGTCATAATCTGATTTGTTCAAATGCATCTGCACAGGGCAGATCGCATTAATTCCGCTAGATGGCGCTTTCCCTGATAACATTTTATTATACCTTTTTTATTTGGTGCTTTTTAAAGTGAATGTCGTCATGTTTTTACTGCATTTTGAGGATGATGTACTCATGTTGCCTTGCAGTATTTTTTCATCTAAAAATATTAAATACTCACTAATTTATCAGCCTCACGCTTTTATATCAAATTGCAAAAAGCTGCAGCATTTATAATCTTCATTGTCCAATGTATTATACAAAATTGATCACTGATCAAAGTATATTCAATCGATTACTTAGAAATTATCTCTTTATTATTGGTATTCTGTAAATAAACAGTTACATAAGTGAAATATAACTCAACATTTGAGAGAATAATAATTGTAACCTTTTCTAAAAAGAACTCAGGCTATGATTTTTTTTTTCATTTGTTTTTATTTTGAGTCTGCAAAAGCTTCAAAACAGCAAACAGTGGATTCTTAAAACTTCACAAAACCTGTTGGATGTCAAAGACTGTTGCGTAATTTATATTTCCTCAGTGGTACTGTTTGCCCAGGGCAGCGACCACCACAGCCAGGAACTTTTGCCAGGCCTCCTGGAATCCAGGGGTGAAAACGCTGGGGCCAAACTTAGCAGCCACAACCACTGAGATGCATTCAGCAAGAGTCTGGAATGAGAAAAGTAGTGAAATCATGGCGATGCAGACTTTATGATGGTGAGATTAAAGCATAAAAGATATGATTTTCCATCAAGGAAGCTTAAGTGTTTGCAACATACCCTGAAGTTATCTGGATCTACATGGAGCTTCTCAGAGTGCATAACACTCAACTTGGCATAGGCCTGCTTGATGTTGTCCAGATTCTTCACAGCTGTTTCCAGTCCACCCATCACAGTTTTTCCATGTTGAGCCACTTTGGCATTTCCAACAATGGAAGCGTAGGTGGACAGGTTGCCAAAAGATCCAAAATGTCTCTGAGTCCAGGGGTACACAACCAGAAGCCTGATTTAAGGGACACATTGTAAAGGTTAATGCCATATAAAAACAGGTTAAACTCAATTCAGAGACAGATCATAAATGTGTTATACAATATGAAGGATATCGATTAATGAATGAAAATGTTTCAAGGGGTCACCTAATCAGAGCTTGGGGTCCGATCTCCCCCACATCGATCTGCCCCCACAGAGTTGAGATGGCCTTGCGCTCAGCATCTGTCCACTCGACCATGGTGATGTATTAAGTATTTTTCTTTAGTCCACAGAGAATAAATTAAAATGTTTTGGCTCGCAGACTTTTTGTGGATAGTAATCTTAGAGGTTTTTATTAATTCTCCAATGCCACTCCTCTCTGCTTAGAAAGTGTCTGATTGGATAAAAGTGCCATGAAGGGTTATACCCTTGACAAATTTGATATGATCACAGCTGGGCTTTCTGGAAAAGGCTGATAAGAAGAAAATTTACACATTTGTTTACAAATTAAATAAAAAAGCTAAAATGTAATGTCAGTTTGCTGATATGCTGGTAAATGATTAAAATATATGTTAACTTCAAATACATGCATTTTCAATGCATATCCTTTTACTTTTTAATGTTTTGCAGATCTTTTTAATGATGCAAACATACATTAGTACAAAATTTGCTAAAGCAGTCTGTATGTTTCACTTACACTGTTCTCATAGTGTTCTTATAGATGAAATACAATCTCTTATCAGGGTTTTTTTGGATATATAAAATAGATTTTTAGCAAAAGAAGCATTAAATCATGTGTGTTTTGAAACAATATTTATGGCACAGTTCCCCAAAGGGTAAGGAGATTGGATTTTGAAAAAAACCTACAGAATCATATTCACTTCTGTTTGCATAAAGCGAGGCAACACATATTTTAAAGGAAAAAAAAACAGAAGAAAAGAAACAAAAGAAGGAACTTCTAATGTAGGTGTTACCTTTATAAAATTAAAAACATAAATAACAGCAGTCATAGTGAAGGACTAGGATTGTGGTTTACTAGGTATTTATATGTTATGACAGTAAGCAATCTAAAATCAATTTGTCTTATATTCAACTTATCTATATATAGTAAATTAGCTTAATAGGGTGAAGAATATGGGGTTGACTGTAGAAAAATAGAAAATTAGGGCATCCTATCAATGTTGTACCACAGTTCTTGCTGAATAACCTATTTGGAAAGGCACCAGTGGACCTGTAAGACCAAACAGGTTAAAAGGATTCCTTTAAAGGGCAGACACACATGAACTGTGAAAGAAATCTCACTTTTAGTTTTCCCCAATATATAATCTGAGGTAAGCTGCTCATTTATGCCTGAATGTACCAGCTGCAAATGGAAGATCTACTGCAAAATGTTGTATCTAAATATAAAGTATCTAAATATCAGACTTTGGATTACAGCAGCAAACAAACAGTTGAGCCTTTTTTAAATTCACTATGTTCACTCCAGTTAAAGACCATAACTTTGTTTCAGAACAATTAAAACCAGTGTTGAATCGTCACTCAATTTTAACACTACCACAGTTTTATTGCTATAAATAATGCTTTTGAGTGATCAAATTAATTATTGTCTTAAAGATTGCATATAAAGAAGTATATCTCTCAGCCATTTATGTTGGGGACGTTTTCTCTTTTTTCCATTTACTCTTTAAAATAATGTTTATCTCTTATTTATTCTGCACTATGACCATGTATGTCACCTCCATTTCTAGGGAATAGAGAGTAGATCATTGAAAATTATAGTGTAAAGACCAAATGTGCTTTTTCTGTAACAACCTTCCGTCAATTACAAAATTGAATAAATTACATCCATAAAAGTAAAAAACAAGAAGATATAAAAGGTGACAAAAGGAACATGACTTAAAATGAAAGACAATGTGTAAATTATCCAATCCCCTTTATTTTACAAACATTTTATTGACAGAAACGTTTCCAAATTGCCGCACACTAAAATAAACATAAAAGAAATACAATGCAATAAGTGATAAAAACAATTATTAAAAATAGGTTAAAAACCAAAAAATATAATAAAAGACACACATGACTTCACAACTAACACAGTTTTAAAAGCCAAACAGTAAAAATGGGAACAGGACTTAAAACACTCAAGTGTTGAGGCTGTTCTAAATTAGATTAAAAGAGGTATTTAGAACAAATGTTGGATAGATAAATGAATCAGGAACTGACTTGAGTCTAAAGAAGTCTGAATAAAAAAAGGCAAGAACTTCAGAAAACTTCAGACAGATCTTCAACAAGCTTATAGGATTATTGGTAAAAACTACTTAAAGATGATAAAAAGGCCTGGCTCCTTTTAGTCAATGAAGGAAATGTGCACTGAGTTCCAGAATACCAAAGAATCTTTTAAAGGGTTTTGTTAAATGTCCAAAAAAAAAAAAAAAAAAAATCTAATTTTATGGATGACTTCATACAGCCTTATCAGCTCTGTGAACACTAGACTCAGTTTGATGTCAAATTTACACACCTATTTGAGCAAAAGGACAAATCATACACTACTTACAAATTTATGTTTTTAAACCTTAAGACTGCTGGCTCAATATTAACATACTTTCAAAGTAACAAAGCCTATGTCATTAATAAAGGCTTTTTTTGTGTGACAAGTTTTACAATATTAAGGGCTTCTCAGCTCCCTCAGATGGTATTAATTAGGTAAATATAATATATAGATAATTTCAAATAAACTTAAAGTGTGCTTTTATTGATAACAAATGTTTATTTTTCCTCATCATCTATGCACAGAACAGAAAGTATGAGACATCAAAAATTTATCAATTAATGAGCTTGCTCAAATGACAGCGATAAGGTGCTAACTTCACCCGCCGCTCTCATGGTCCGGAGGATTCAATGTGACAGTTATGATTAAATTCAGATGGCCGCACCCATTTATATCAAACCACACATTTATAGACAAGACATAATAATCTTCAACAGCATGTCTGCAAGGAAGTCTTAAAGTTAATAATGTACAAACCCTCTAATAACTGTTAGGCCCTTTATGCTAAAAGGAAATAGTAACCACTAAAATGACCTTGAATGTGCAGAAAAGACTGCACTGCTGTTTGATTAATTCTTCACATTCTTTTCATAGGTTCAAATTATTTCAAATTCTTGACCAAGCATATGCATGATTACATTTCTTTTTAGGTTAAAATTAACGGATTGAAAATAAGTGGAAATAAAATATCTAAATAGGTTTAAAGGTTTACAGCAAAGTTTTTTTAATGAAATGTCTCCGGTTTGGAGACAGTAAGGCAAAAAGTGTTTCCCCACATTTAAACAGTTTTACCTTGCAATGTTTAAAGGAACTAGACAGGGGAATATATACAAGTTTCCATGAAATGGTTCAAAGGATTTTTTTATTTATTTGATAGTGATAATTCTTGTGCAAAGTTGTAGGATAGTACACTAGTCATTTTAAAAATCCACCATCTTTATTTTCCGTTCCATTCCAAAATTGTAGTCTACAAAATGAACAGCTTGCTGAACATCTATGTTGGCTAATATAATTTCTTGACACTACTTTATCATAGATGTTGTTTCCTTTCGGTCAATCAAACTGAGTCATATGTAGTTAAATTTTTTTTTAGATATATAAGCAGCACCTTCTTTTCTTTAAAATGCCTTCTGTAAATTTCTGCAAAAAAAGTCCTCATTAAAAATATTATGCAATTATTCATCTGTCCTGCTTTTAAAGTCATATATGTTGTTGTTGTTTTTTAAGTGTAATGCACAATATAGTTTTTAAACCTACAAAAATATTCTTGTGGACAGGGAGTGGTTATCTTTTATCTCATGAATTAAAGAAACTTCTGGTAATTTCTGCCAAAGAGGTGGGGTCTGGTTTTGATAAAGGGCGTGGTGCGGTTTGACAAATATAAAACATAGTCAGTTATAAAGTGTCTTCACCAGAAATTTCCTAGCAGTTTTTTTCCATTCAGCTGAGAAAACTGAAAAGGGCAGAAATGAGTCTCTCCGGAAAGGACAAGACCGTGGTGAAAGCTTTCTGGGAGAAATGTGCCCCTAAATCGGCTGATATTGGGGCCGAGGCTCTTGGCAGGTGGGTTTTCTCTCTTTTCATCTTCCTTTATTTTTAAGAGTTACATGTTTAACCTTTGATTTTTTAAATCTGAACTGACATTTCTATGTGTGACCTCTAGGATGCTGACTTCATACCCGCAAACCAAGACCTACTTTTCACACTGGTCTGATCTGAGCCCTGACTCTGCACAGGTGAGGAAGCATGGTGCCACCATCATGGGAGCTGTTGGGGATGCCGTCTCAAAGATCGATGACCTGACTGGTGGTCTTGCCAAGCTCAGTGAGCTGCATGCCTTCAAGCTCAGAGTGGACCCTGCTAACTTCAGGGTAAGCAAAATTACATTGTGTGGAGCACCATGAAGAAAATGTCAAAGCTTGCTCTGCATGTATGTGCAATGTCAATATTTCAAAAGTTTAATGGACAAGCAGGATTCTCCCAGTGAAATGCAGTGTTTGTTTCTTTTGCAACAGATCCTGTCTCACAACATCATCCTGGTGCTGGCCATGTACTTCCCAGCTGATTTCACCCCAGAGGTTCATGTCTCTGTCGACAAGTTCCTGCAGAATCTGGCCTTGGCTCTGTCTGAGAAATACCGCTAAGATCCAGACATTCAGGAGGATCGGCTGCATTACAAACTGCATGTCACCCAAGAGAAAAATGTTACACCACCTTTGCACTTAAGAGGTTGGCTGACTAAATTAAATAAAAAAAATAATTGTCAATATAGGCTGTGACTTCTTTTTTTTTCTCAACTCATCTCACCTTCAAAAGCAGAAACACCTTCATAGCAAATTTATGATTTCTAAAATCAACACAGAAGGGTGTAAGGATATATATTTCATATATATTTATATATCATGGGTTATAAAAATAAAGTAATATTAAGAACTAATTATGCAAAATTATAAACACCAAAAAAAAAAAAGCAAGCAAAACTCAGTTTAAAATTGTTTGGCTAATTGCATAATCTCTAATGTACAGTGAATAAATGTTAAATCCATAAAATGTTTTTGTTTAATACAATTTAATCAACATAAGTCAAGTATGTCATTCTGAAGCAAAGACAGGTTTGAGAAAAAAAAAACAAACAAACATTCAAGACAACCTAAAGTTTTACAGGCTTCTTAAAAAGTTGCTATCTAGAGTTTTCAGTTGAAAGAAAAGAAGACCAAGACAACAATAAGCGTGCAGATTGAAATTATTCAGCTCATTACAGAGAAGCTATACTATACTCACACAATCAGGTTTATGTTTATTAAATAGACATAAT